AATAAATCTGTGTCCAATAATTTTGTGTCCAATAATTTGGTGTCGAATCGATCGGTGTCGAATCGTACTGTGGTCAAACGGAACACGCCCGCTCACTTATGGTAGATATGTGGACGATATTTTTGGAGGTGCAGACACAGTCGAACACCTCATATTGACAGCTTTACAAGTAAAAGGCTTGTGCAACGCGGGCGGTTTTCCGCTCTCCAAATGGCATGCGACACACCCGGACTTGCTCACGGCAGTTTCAACGAGTAGCTCATCAAGCTCCGTACCATTAGACGATTGCACAACCAAACTACTCGGATAAAATTGGATTCCGCAAGAGAATAGATTTGTATTCTGCTCAAAGGTTTTGGAACGTTCAGGCAAGCTCACGAAACGCCTAGTTTTATCTGAAGTAGCAAAGATATTCGATCCGCTCGGCTTCGTCTCTCCGGTTGTGATCAGGGCAAAGATGTTCTTGCAAGAGCTGTGGCTCCACGAACTCAATTGGGACAATTCACTCCCAAAACATCTCAGCGCGAAATGGCTTATGATCAGGAACAATCTCAAATCGTTAGCCAGCATATCAATTCCAAGGTGGTTTAACTCATGGAGCGACTCAAGGGTAGAACTCCACGGATTCGCAGACGCTTCTCAGCTCGCCATGGCAGCAGTCATTTATTTGGTGATTTACTCACCGTCAACAGGCTCTACGACTTTGTCTGCTCGAAAACAAAGGTAGCCCCACTTAAATGGCTAACAATTCCAAGATTAGAGCTCACAGCGGCGCTGCTATTTGGTAAGCTGATGGCTCATGTTCACGCCACACTAAGGCTCGACGTGAAATCGACTCACATGTGGATCGACTCGCAAGTAGCACTCATGTGGATCAAATCATCCGCATCCCGTTGGAAGGATTACGTTAGAAACAGGGTGACTGAAATCCAAGAACTGTCAACAAATTCTACTTGGTGTCATATTCCCGGCGCAATGAATCCAGCAGATTGCGGATCGAGAGAAATTTCGGCGGACCACTTGATGAATCACCCATTGTGGTAGACTGGACCACCCTGGCTCAAGCAGTCTTCCGACTCGTGACCAGCTCAACCAGATATCTCGCCGGAGCTCACTCATACTGAAGCTTGAACTAATACAGGTCTATTTGCAGCAGCTCCAATACCTGCACCTAGTTGGAATTTAGTGTACAAGTACTCCTCACTGAACAAGCTATTCAAAGTCACAGCGCTGTGTTTCAGATTCATACAATTGCTCAAGCGCAATCTCACGTCACCTTCTTCTACGTGCATATCAGCTCAAGAACTCAACCAAGCAATGCTCTTCTGGATCAAATCGACTCAAGCTACATACTTTGCTCACGAGCTCAAGACGCTCAGTCAACATTCGTCACTTCCCACGGCTCACGCGCTCTCCAGACTAACAGCATTTCTTGATGAAGATGGCGTGATTAGAGCGGGAGGCCGACTTAAGGAATCAGCGCTCACTTATCAAAATAAGCATCCAGCAATACTACCACGTCATTGTCAGGTCACCTCTCTCATCATTGACGACGCACATCGCACCACTCTACATGGTGGTACGCAGCTCACCCTGGCAAAAATTCGGCAAACCTACTGGATCATTGGCGAAAGAGCTCCAGTAAAATCTCACATAATCAAATGTGTCAAATGTGCAAGACAGAGAGGCATCCGCGCGAAGCAACTGATGGATCAGCTCCCGTTGGCGCGAGTCACACCTGCACGTGCGTTTCTACACACAGGTGTAGACTATGCTGGACCTGTGCAGCTCAAGACGTAGAAAGGGCGAGGCTCAAAAACACATAAGGGCTGGATCTGTGTGTTCGTGTGTCTCATTACATCCGCAACTCACCTCGAAGTTGTAACTGATTATTCAGCTGAAGGTTTTCTCGCTGCATATCGACGATTTGCAGCCAGACGAGGGTTAGCTCATATGCTTTACTCAGACTGTGGCACCACTTTTGTTGTTGAAACCTAAGGACCTGAGCACAATAGAGAAAATATCAGGCTTAAGAATAAAGATTAAATATTAGGAGAATAGACATTGCGAATTACTTTTATTAAAACAACAAAACGAGAAGGAATAACGCACAATGCGTTGAGAAGTAAAAATAAGGTTATTACGTTTCGTTTCGTTATGATAAAATAAAATATTCCTTACCTAGAAAGGTTTTGTAAACTTTTTCATATAATATTTTGTTGTATGTAGATGTATTCATATATGTACATTTATTTATATAAAATGTCAAGTGTTGATTGTAGTTACTTATGGTCAACAAATGTTGTAGGTATCTTTGGTTTAATTTGTTTTGTCGCCATTTTTTGTGATTGCATATTCTAAATAAATGAAGAAAAAGAAAAATACTTGTGTATTATGTTAGGTTAATCTAATTTTGTAGAATTATTACATCCAAAAATACTATTGTATTTGGTAAAAAACATGTATATTTTCTGGATAAAAAATTGTTGATTATAAATAATTGTTGATTTTCAAATACTGTATAAGGGGCGTGTTCCGTTTGACCACAGTACGATTCGACACCAAATTATTGGACAC